CCCCAAAACCCCAAAACCCCAAAACCCCGAGAGTCAAGTAATCATCTAATCACAACAATTGTTTCTTTATAATACAAATTTCTATCTAATTTAATTACTTTATATTTATTAACAATGAGCAGCAGATATAAAACTAAGAAGAATTCATCTTGTAAATAGCTACTTAGGTCGATCGATATTTATGCTAAGCCAGTTTAGTTGACTTATAAAGGTAGTGAAAAATTTAGAAGTACTTTTGGAGGGATAATCTCCCTAGCTGTTGTTATTTTTTTCTTCTCTGTATTTGTTTACAAGCTTAACGATATGTTCAATAAAAGCTAGACTTAGATTAAGAAAAACACCTTAGTGAGTATTTCAAACGAATATACACCTCCTGAAGTTCTATCTGACAAAAATATCACATTTGCTTTCATGCTATCTGATTTTTATGGGTCAGGTGCATTTGATAATCCTTACTATGGAGATTTATTCCTAAATTAAAATATTATAAACATTAAGGTAAATGAAACCACAGGGGAATCTTACAGAGAGTTTATTGATTACAGCATTCCTTTTTCTAAGTGCAAAATAGGGAAGAACTTCTTTTACCCAGATCCAGAGGAAATAAAGAATTATCAAATTGAATCATTTTATTGCCCTGATTGGTTTAACCTCACTATTTAAGGTAATTGGTACTCGCCTGAATATAAGTTAGTAACTTTAGGTTTTAGAAGATGCTCAGGTAAAAATTGTGCAACTGAAGAAGAATTTTAAAGTTGGGTTGGGAAAATAACAATGTAGGAGATTATTATTAGCTCTTATTTTGATGTCTCTGACTATGAGAATCCTGTGCATTACTTTTTGGATGATCTATATCTGCCTTTTTAGTATAATAGAAGTGTAGTATCTAATAATTACATTCGTAGAAATAAACTTGAGTTGCATGATAATTTATTTGGCATATTCAATGATTAAGTAGATCTAACATTTTATTAAAAGAGTGAAAGAATATATTTTACCTCTGATGTAAACGAAGGACCAGGAGAAGGCATAATGTTTTTCTAAAATTTTTACTTGGATAAAAATTATGATATATATGAGAGAAGAGTTTATTCTTTTTCAGGAGTACTTTAAGATGTCGGAGGAATTTACAATTCTTTATTTTTTGCTGGATTGTTTATTTATGGTAGATTTCAGGGGTCAATATACTTCTCATCTATTATAAGCAAACTATATTAAGTAGAAGAATTTAAAAAAGGGACAAAAAAATAAAAGAAACTTAAAAATGGGAAATTAGATTAAAACTCAGAGCATGAAAATGAAGATGATGATGATGACGATGAGAATTTGAAAAAATAGCTAAGTAGATCGTCACATTTATCTTTCAAGACTGGTGTTTTTAGTAGAAGAGGTAGCTATCTAAGTGGATTCAGTTAGCTTCATGAGATGTCGATGGGAATAAAAGAGGTATTTCTACAAAGTATATAATCTAGAAATTTCTCCAAAGATGCTTATGAGAATATCAAAGATTATCTGAAAAATAGATGGAGAATAAAAATTAGTTTTTAAGATATACTTGTATTCTCATTTTGGCGTCTACTTGGATTTTTCCGGTGCTGCAGGCGAAACAAATAAGATTCTTTAAACTAAAGAAAAATTCACCTATATAAAAAGGGAGAAGAGAAAATTAAGAGAGAACTAGACTGTGTTAATTTGATGACAAAATTGAGGTAACTTGATCTGCTACTATCTCTTTAACTGGATAAAAATTAGAAATTTCTACTGAATCTATAAAAAAAGCATTTGATTTAAGAGGTTGATACTTCGACAGACGAAGATAAAAACAATATCGTTGTAGTCAGTAAATTCGATAGTAATACATAAAATGATAAAACACAATCAAAATTCATGAAATCTTTGAATCTTTAACTTAATAGCATACAATCTAAGTCTGAATTAACTGAAATCGACAAGAAGATACTAATTGGTCTGGTAACTAAGAACCCTCACAGATATATCAATAATCCTGCTATAAAGGAATCCCTAAAATTATACGACAAGAAATCTACAAGGAAAAATATCAATCTTTCAAGCAGCTCATCAGGCAACTTTTTTGTCCCTTAGAAAATAATAGAAGCTAAAACATCTCCCTCTAGAAGATATCTACTAAAAAATGTTCAAAATTTAGATACTAATATCGATGATTAATTTGAAAAGCAACAGTAAAAATATGCTATTGAAAATTCCTAGATTAATTAACTCAAAGATGTTATATAAAGTATTAAAAGCAAATAGATTACACAATCACCTTAAAGTGAGTAAAAAAAGCATGTAGGAGCAAGAAAAAAAGTTTACAAATAGCGTATCAAAACATTTAACATAGCTAAACTTCCTTTTAGTGGAAATAGAGACTTAAATTTATTATAATGATTAGTTTAATTTTTAATCAATATGGATTTACAAATTAAAAGATAGTTTTCTGATATTTTTAGATGCTCTCTCTATGGGGTTTTGGGGTTTTGGGGTTTTGGGG